TGCTACTTTTTGCAAATGAATAATCTTTTGCACCTTTTTTCACAAATAGAGGCACGTGGATCAAGATGAGATAATAATAGATTTTTTCACAAAATTTTCGGTTTGGTTTCACCATTTTCTCCCCCTAATTTTGGAAAAAGTGTCTCATCGAATCGGCAGTCTGCAAAGCGTGCAGTGAACAAATCCCCCGTTAATGTTTCGAGGTAGCGAATAATGGAGGATGATTCAAACCCAACATAAATTCCTAACATTTTTGGGGGACCCATTTTGGTGCGATATGGCGGTGCTACAGGCACATATACTGCACATCCAATTTTTCTTAAATGGGATATATTACGTTCATGACCCAAAACTAATTGTAACGGAGAATATTTATGATAATTTGTCGGTCTTAGACGAACTGGCATTGCTGCATACAAAATGGCGTGACACTAAACTGAAGTGGGTAATCTCGTTTTTATGAGTAACAGTCTTGCTATCAATTGCAGACGTTTAATCAAAGACTCTGCAAGGCCATTTTGAGTGTGAACATGAGCTGCATAATGTTCCACTTTTATCCCAATTGATTAGCAATAATCATTAAATTCTTGGGATGAAAATTTAGCAAAATTATCAAGTTTAATAGACATTGGATTATCGAGAAACTGTCCCGTAATCGAATTATTTGGGCCATTAATTTTGCAAACGCCAGGTTGCGAGATGACAATAGGCATACATGAGACCATGTAGAGGATACATCTATTAAGATTATAAAATATCTAAATGACCCACTAGGTGGGTGAATAGGTCCACAAATATCCCCTCGTATACGTTCCAAAAACGCAGGGGACTCAAGCCCAACCTTTGTTGGTGATGGTCTAATAATTAAATTGCCTTGATAACAAGAAGTGCAAGAAAGTTCATTATTTAAAAGAATCTTTAAATTCTTTAACGGATGCCCATTTGAGTTTTTTATAATCTGTCTCATCATAATTGATCCAGGATGTCCCAATCGATCATGCCAAAGTACAAAAGTATTGGAATCAGTAACCTTTTGGTTTCGATAGAATGCGCCTCAATTGCACTAATTCCTGTCCAATATAGGCCATAAGATAAAGATGAGAACTTCTCAATAACTCTCTTCCGGACAGAGACATTTTTAGTAACGATGAGATATTCAAGATTTTTCTCATCTATTGTCTCAATATGATATCCATTTTGGCGGATATCTTTAAAACTCAATAAGTTCCTCTTGGACTTGGAGGTGAACATTGCATTACCTATGATAAGTATTGTTCCCTTAGGCAGAGTTATAGTAGTTCTTCTAGAGCCTTCAATTAGATTACTACTACCAGAAATTGTAGTAATATTTGCCTTACACATACTTAAATGAGAGAAATATTTATTCTCTTTGAACTTTTTATGTGTTGTACATGAATCAACTAAACAAATATTTTTGCAATTGAACTGATCCGAGTTTGCTTTGTGAGATATCCATATTTGCTTAATCTTCTCAAAGAGCTTCTTGAGACGGTAGAGTCTCGTGCTGATAACTTGAAATAAAACAATATAGAAAAGGAGAATATTGCTAAAGAAAAGAGAGAGGTAATTCTTATTGAATTTCAGATGACTTACAATGGGATAAAGCCCCTCTTATAGGGGGAATAATGACTTAGCCACAAAGTAACAAACTCTCTATAAGATAGACATTGACTCTAAGTACAATTCTATTCATAACATATGAATCATTTTTACCTTAATTTATACACTTGCTAATTAAGATCAGCTTACCAATAACTACACACAACTATCCATAATAATAAGTAAAACTAGTAAACATGGTAAATTGTACTGTCCTTTTCAATACACAATTCGTGCATTTAATTTGAAAATAAAAATAAATAAGTTGTACTTAGTAAATTATATGCATACAAGTTAAACTGAAAACAAGAACAAATAACCTGTAAGGTAAAAAAATAGATCTTTGACTTTAGAAATTTGCTTCATCATTAACTAAAGAAGAAAGAGAAGGGGGAAGCTTAGTCTAATTGTCCGAAGTGGTAACTTCTAGTTGGCGCTATGTTTATGGACTCAAGTTAATTGAACCCACATATGTTGTTTGTTGTTTCCGCATATTTCGAAGGAAAGCTCTACTGGAGACTGGGATTGTAGTGAGAAGATTCCCTAGACCCATTTAAAATGAAATATACACGAAAATTTTACATTTTACTAAAGTTTTTTCCTAACAAACATCACAATGATAAGAGAGAGAATTAAACTAGACTAGACTATTTTAATTAAAAAGAAGGTTTTAAAGTAACTTATTGAATTTACCGAGCTAGTTCATGTAACTTTCCAACTAGCTAGTGGAAAGATTTTTTTAAGTTATTATAGAATATAAGGAAAAGGGTTAAAAATACCCCTAAACTATTGGAAAAGGTTTAAAAATACCCTTCATTCACCTATTGGGCTAGAAATACTCCTCCATCCACTTTTTTTGTTTATTTATGACCTTTGACCATTAGGTCATTGCTGAATTAAGAATAATTATTATTTAAATTCCACGTGGCAACTTTTTATTGGTCGAAATTAAAACATCTAACCTATTAGAAAGACCTACCTGTATCTACCCGTTTTTCGGACCAACCCTCCCATAATACTAACCCGACCCGAATAAAAAGTTCAACTAAAAAAAAGACGCCCCACTTCCTAACCATAATTTCTTCACGGGGAATTTTCTCTTCTCTCGAATGGAGGTACTAATTCTATCTATGGAAGTATAGTTTGATATTTCTTAGTAATTTTGTTTTAGTTCATTGGTTAGAAATGATCGTTTTCTTCCTGATAGTCAATGCGAATTTCCGAACAGCGAATGACAAAAAAATTACTAGTAACAGAGAAAGTTTGATGACTTGACTTTTTTATAGAACTGCAATGAAACTCATTCGAATCATTAGTTTTTCTTTGAAAAAATTCATTAGAAGTTTCTGGACACATTTTGAGTGCTAGGTTACAGGAAACGTCACCATATCCCTGTAGTATAACGTTTCGACTTTAACGATTTTTTCGTAATTGTTGCGATGTGAAAGTATAATTATCTGGTCTTGGTTTTATTTTGATTAGCTAAGTTTATTTGAGATTATAACTAGCAATACATTGAAGCCATTCCTTTGTGTTCTAATTGATCTTTAAGAAGTACTTAATGTTACTCGAGGTGCGTGTAAGCTAATCCGGACACCACGATTATAAAAAAAAAAAAATAGAAGTACTTGATGTCCGGACACCACGGAGTTAGATGGAAGTGGGGCGTCTTTTTTTAGTTGAACTTTTTATTCGGATCGGGTCAATATTTGAGACGGGTTAGTCCGAAAAACGGGTAGATACGAATAGGTCTTTCTAATAGGTTAGATGTTTTAATTTCGACCAATAAGAAGTTGCCACGTGGAATTTAAATAATAATTATTTTTAATTCAGCATTGACCTAACGGTCAAAGAGCATAAGTGAACCAAAGAAGTGGATGGAGGCGTATTCTTAGCCCAATAGGTGGAGGTAGGATATTTTAAAACCTTTTCCAATAGTTTAGGGACATTTTTAACCCTTTTTCGTAGAATATAAAAGGTTGAACAACGTTGCCAAGTGATTTTCTACTCTTACGTCATACTTTGCACCTTCGAAAGAGTTGATTCCAAGTGTTTAATTAGGGAGCCAAAGCATGCCAACATGTTAAAAGTCAAAAGTGTGGGAGTTTTTCTCTCAAATCGTTAAGGAAATGTGCGAAGATACTTGGATAAAATGCCGCAGAGAAATGTTGTGTTTGGAATGCAATATTGTCCGGGTGCGCTAAAAAATAATGATGGGTCTGTTAAAAGGTTTGTTTATAATGAGATGGTGAATTGTGGGATTCGATCGCCATGATGAAACTACATGAGTTACTGTCATCTCTGCTTGGTGATGCTACCCTTGTCGAGGCCCTTGTCAAGATGATAAATGAGAAGGATGCTCGCTTAAATTGTTTTGCCAAGACTGCGCTTCTTGACATGTATGCCAAATGTGGGAACCTAGCTATGGCTAGGAAGATCTTTGATGAATTGAATACATATAAGAACTTAGTTACGTACATGAAAAGCTAAGATTCCGGGGACAATGCTCTGATTTTTGTGTATTCCAAGTGCGTAAGTATGAGATATGCTGAGAAAGTAGTTCAATTAATGGAAACCAGAGATATAGGGTGTGTTTGATACGAAGGAGAACTTTTTCCGGAAAAGGTTACCCATTTTTTTTCAAATTTTAGTTTTTTTTTCCATCACAATCTTTTTTTTTTTTTGTAAATTTAAATTTCTGTTTTTTTCGTTTTTCTGCACAC